CTCTTCCAGGCTGATTGGAGGACAATACACTGTGCCAGTGGCCCCAGTTGCCACAGTTTCTACCCCGGATGTTGACTGCCTGAGTGGCATCTATTTGCCCAGCTCCTTCCAAACTGGCTCCTGGCTCCTGGACCACTGTCAGAAGACCTGCTGTGAGCCCACTGCTTGCCAGCCAACCTGCTACCAGCCAACCCCTTGTGTCTCCAGCCCTGTCCAGGTGACCTGCTCTCGGCCAACCACTTGTGTCTCCAATCCCTGCTCAACTCCCTGTAGTCGGCCGCTCACCTTTGTCTCCAGTGGCTGTCAGCCCCTGGGCGGCATCTCTACTGTGTGCCAACCAGTGAAAAGTGTCTCCACTGTCTGCCAGCCAGTGGGAGGAGTCTCCACCATCTGCCAACCAGCCTGTGGGGTCTCCAGGATGTACCAGCAGTCCTGCGTGTCCAGCTGCCGAAGAATTTGCTGAGTTTGCAGGGGCCCGTGAACGAATCAAGACTCCATGACCTGCCAGCTGTGTTTCCAGGATCTTCCAACAAGCTGCCTGTCCCTGAATAACTCTTCATTGCTGACCTCCTGTTCTAACTGCCTGATTGCTGGCTGCCAGGCTTGAATAAGCTGACTTTGGCAATCTAACGTTTTTCTGGCCTGCACCAATCTTGTTTTAAGGGTTTGATCACTGGTGGCACGTATACCTCTGGATGTTTCCAGAAACTTACCACCCATGCCCCAGTCTCTAATGGTTTTGGCATGTTTTGACCTAGCTTCTTTGTCTTCTGGCTTGTTTTTGTGCCTCGGAAAAAGGGAACTTGTTTCGCTCTGTATTTCTCAATAAACTTTAATTACTTGGCATTGCAAATGTATGTCTCAGGAGAGTTCTTTATTTGCAAGAATTTTTGCTGTCTGTGAATCATTTTTTGCTGATTAGGGTCTGATTTTCTTTTCCAAGAATGGAGTATGGGTTCAGTCACTGTGTTTAATGACAAGCAAGGGATTATCTTATATTTTACTTGGTTAGAGAGTTTTTGGACATGTATTCAAGTAGAGTGACTAGTCCTCTATATTTCTCCCAATTTTTTATGGGCTTGCAGAATAATTTCCATGCAGGACAAAGAAATGTTACCTGACAAACCAGGTAGTTTGGGGAATTTTACAGTGAAGGGGAGAATGGAGTCAGTTAGAGGGTCAGAGTCTTACTTCATCAGAGGACCACAGTGGAAAACTTTGCAAAGTATCCCTCCATGATTATATGGGAGGCAGGGAGAAGGAGGAAGGATGAAGTCAGTTTCTAGGCCCTGAGATTTATGGCATCAAAAAGGTGGCTGTAGCTTTCTAGTTCCCTCACTTGCTGCTGTGTATTGGTAGACCCCCAAACATGTTCTGAGTAAACTAAAGTTCTGCGTTTTAGTTAATCTGGGCAGGGAAGACTTAAAAACAAATTTCAAACACATGTTGGTTTATTTTAATACTTAGAGCCTTATTTTGTGCTTGCTTTCCACTGGAGCCCACATGCAGATAAAACAAGCCATCTGGACTGGTGGTCAACACACTAATTCCTTCTGCCTTTTTTAGAAAGTGAGAACTGACCGCCAGTTGGTTTCCTTTTGTCCTCATTCTCTGTTATGTCCAGAAACACATCTCTATAATTCCTTTTCAGAGTTGCTCAAGGACAAACAGTAGAGAAATTTTTTTTTTTTTTTTTTTTTTTACTGAAAATGGAGGCACATGAGGTGTGCCTGCCGGGAGCAATGGGTGCCTTTTTGCATAATAGAGGTGCTTAGTGCCTTGTGGAGAATCTGACCATCCACTTCTTTTGTCAGCACAAAATGGTTTTCTTATTCCACTAACAGTTTTTCAGAGAGGCAAAACGTATGGACAATTTCTGGAGGGAAAATTTTCATTTTTTCCTATTATTGACTCTACTCTTAGAAGAAATGTTCCCTCTAATCAAAGAAATGTTAGTATGTATGACTCACTGTACTATCTCATTAAAGCAAGTCATAGCTTTTACTATACATTGGTTTCATGACTCTTCTTTTTAAAAATAACACCCTGGCTTTCAGAAATGCTCTGGTTTACTCTATAATGGAAATCACTAGGAGAACCCTAGATGGCTCATTCAAAGCTGTCATTTACTGAACTCTCACATTGTTTATTTTGGTCACTTCACATATGATTTGGAAAATCTGAAGTTTTTCAGAGGCTTACATGTTATTAATAATTCTTTTGTTCATGTTTTTTTCTTCAGCTTTCCAGTTTTCAGTAAAAATTACTAGAACAGAGATGCCTTTTTTTTCTTTTTCTTTAGACAGCTAATAATCTTTAAGATTCATGTAGTAGCAATATTTAATAACATAGATTTTATAGACTGAGATGAGTGAACTTTTGCTTGGGCCATTTATTGTGATGGTGTGAACATCCAAGGATATTGTAGGTATCCTGCTGAGCTATTTCCTTGCTTTTATTTCTGTTTGGGGAATCATCTATTTTGCTATTAGAGATATTCTATTTGTACTTGAACTTTGAAAGTTCTCTCCATTCTTTGCTTTATTTCATAATAAATTGCAAAGTTTGTCTTTGAGGACAGTCTTTTAAAAGATAGAGCAATGATGATTTATTTCTCTTCTTGGTCTAGGACCCAGAAATATGTCTTGTATGTAATAGTCTATAGCTGTGGGGAAGCAGTTTGAGGGACTTTAGTTCAAATCCTGGTTTCTGCCCCTTGGCTGCAGGTTTGTTAATCTCCCTAAACCTTAGCTCATCTGTAAAACAAAGATAATGATACCATCGTATGCCTCTGTTTCAGGAATAAACTGAGACAATAAGTGTGCATCCCAGGTATCACTGAGGCACCCTGTCATTTGATATTGAAGTGAAATTGGCTTTCACCATTTTTCTTCTTTGGTGGGAATCCTGGCTACTCCTAGCATTGCTGAGGAATCCAAGGGTGGAGAGGTTGGAGGATCGTCACTTACTGTTTTATTTCCTAATCTTCTCTGGCTCTGAACTTTTACTTTAGAAGAATTAGTTCATTTTATTGATCTTCTTCCTAGTCTATACTCTGTTTCTGTTCAGACTGTAATGATTCAGACACCATAGCACTATTTCCTTTCTTTGATTTCCACAAAATCTACTTACACAGGCATTTGTGTATCGAACAGACTTTACTGAAAGTCTGGGTGCATAGATGATACTTATACTTTAGTGATGAAAACAACTCAAAATTAAATTTTAGACATAAAGAAGTTCCTTGGCCATTGTCCCTGGGACATTATCACATTCAACTCAAAACCAAATCACTCCCTCCTTTCCTTCCTCCCTTCCTCCCTCCCTTCCTTCCACAAATGTTAGGGTACCTCTAATGTTCCAGCTTCTTTGCTGGGTACTGGTTACATGGCTGTGATTTATGCTCCTCATGGAGTTCATAGCTTAGTTATGTAGAGCAATATCTCTAGATATTTTATATTTTCCTCTGTATCTTCCACTTAGGGATTCCATGTGCTTTGCCTTTTCCCTGCAAATGCTTGTAAGTGCTTACCAAAGTGCTATATCCCATAAATTCTCTAAAAAGTTAAAAATTTCTACCCTTTTCTCTTATATGATGTTTCTTAAAAGAATACAGCTACAGTAAAAGCTGAAAATTCATATAACCAACCTCTGGAATATTTGACTTTAAAAATGGTACAAATGAGCTTATTTACAAAACAGAAATAGAGTTACAGATGTAGAAAACAATCTTATGGTTACCAGGGGGAAAGCAGGGAGGGATAGATTGGGAGATTGGGACTGACATATACACACTACTATGTGTAAAATAGGTAACTAATAAGGACCTACTGTATAGCACAGGAAACTCTGCTCAATACTCTGTAATGACCTATATGGGAGAAGAATCTAAAAAAGAGGGATATATGTATATGTATAACTGATTCACTTTGCTGTATAGCAGAAAGTAACACAACATTGTGAATCAACTATACTCCACTAAAATTTTTTAAAAAGTTTTAGTCATTAAAAAACAATCTGGGAGTCAGATAGCTTGTGAGACTCAAGGGAATGTACTGATAACCAACTGAATGGCAAGAATGAATGGTTGGCACATTGGGGTAGAAACCCAGACTGGTGCCCTCAAAAGCTGCCCTCTGCCTTCAGTAAAGGTGGGCTCTGCAATTTGACCTTAGCCTTGGTAAATATTCACTCTGCCTCTTTATTTTCAGGAAGCTACAGCTTGTGCTTAGGAATTTATAAATGGCCCCATATCTAGAGGGCATCGTGTAGCTTTTATGAAAATGAGGTCTTCACTGATTTTAAGACCCAACTTCTTTCATATACTCCACTTTTCTATATTTAACTGCCTCATGGGCATTTCCAAAAAGATGTCTTATAATCAAACTCAAAGAAATTTTCAAAACTCAAATTGGCCATGGTGTAATTTATTAATCAGGGATGTGATTTATTAATCAGGGTTTGTATTGCACACTGCAGATTATAAAACAGTTAGGATTGGGAACAAGCTCCCATCAGCACAGGTGAGAATCTATTATAAGCAAACACAATCGCTTTGTGTAAGTTGTTCTGTGCTTTATTATAAAAATGGATGATCAAAGTGACAATCTAGTATAAAAATTGTGATAATGATAGTCTTAATGCCTGTAATAAAGACAAGTGATTCTTCTGGAGCAGAGCTGGGGGTAGTCAAGGGTAGTCAAGTGTAGGACTTGTTTAAAAATGTGTAGGTTTCATAGCCATATACTTACAACCATCATTTATCTTTGTATAAATTTATTTTGGAATTTATTATTGAAATTCCTACATAAAAAAGTGTATCATTTGGGCCTGAAAGTCAAGCCCCTAAACTCTCTTTTCCCTCCATTAAGCATGTTAATGTAAGTGTTCTTAGGAACACATCAATTGCATAATCGTAGAGAAGGCCGTTTCACTAAAATGAAATATTCTTTTGCTAAAACTTCTCATCATATTGATTTTTACCTCTTGATTAATGCTGCCACCATCTTCCAAGTCACCTAGGATTGAAATTCTGTCATTGTTTTTCACTCTTCTTCCCCCTAACTTCACACATTTAATTCCTTCTACCATAACAATTTTTTATGTCTTTTTCTTAGCATTTCTTCTAGTCTTACCTACTGTGGGAACTCATTGCCTTTCACGTGAGTATTGTGATTAGCTCCTATGTGATCTAAGTGTCATTCTTCCCTTTCTGTACAGCACTCTCAGATCTGTCTGTATTAGTTTGCTAGGGCTGCTGTAACAAAGGATCACAAACTGGGTGGCTTAAACAACAGAAATTTGTTGTCTCAAATTTCTGGAGGATGGAAGTCTGAGGTCAAGGTGTTAGCGAGGTCCATTCCTTCTGAGGACTGTGAGAAAGAAACTGTCGCATGCCTCACCCCGAGCTTCTGGTGGCTGCTGACAATCTTTGGCGTTCCTTGGCTTGTAGAAGCAACACCCTGAGCTCTGCCTTCATCTTCACGTGCCATTCTCCCCGTGTGTGTGTTCATGTCGTGTCCAAATTTTCTCTTTTTATAAGGACGTCAGTCATATTGAACTAGTGAAATACCCAACTCAAGAATGACCTCATCTTAACTAATTCTATCTGAAGAAAATCTTACTTTCCAGCTAGGTCACATTATGAGATACTGGGGCTTAGGACTTCAACATATGAATTTGTAGGAGGCACAATCTAACCCATAAATCTGATGTCACTTTTCCACTCAAAAATATCAAAACATGTTCATTACCTGATGAATGCTGTTAAGACTTGCTGGTGTGACATTCATAATTCCCAGAAGAGTATTTAATAAATGTTAATAAATATAAGAAGACTATAATTTTTGAATT